AGCTTCTAGCTGACTATGACCTGCTCAGAGATGCTCTCCCTAATTACCCTTTACAGAATTAAATTATCTCCTCTTAATTTCTGTCTCAAAATCCTATTTCTTCACAGCATTGATCGCAATTTGTAATTATATTATGTGGTGGTCGGTTTGTGTGGGTTTGTGTTTCTCCAACTCCTCTGTAAATCCTGGGAGAATAATGAATATTCATGACTTATTTAAGTCTGTAGATTGTCAACTCTCACAGTAGTAACACTAGATAAATATTAGTAGACAAGAGAATTAATAAAATAATTACTTTGATAAGCATGTATCAACACTATCAACTATATTATGAATTGATTATGTCAACAGACACTTGCCTCACATTTATTTTTGGTTAAGGTGCCGTGTTTGATGATATGGGAAACATAATAGTAAATTCAATGTGCCCTTAAGAAACGCACAGACTAGGCCAAAACACACATACACAAATAACCTTAACAGGCAGCAGGTGAACATGGACAGAGTATGGATGCTGTGGGGGTTTAGAGAGACACCCCTAATGGGTGAAGTATTAGAAGGCCATCTTGGGAGAATGTTTAAGTTGACCATGATGTTGAGTTCACTCCATGGAAGGAGAAGATGAGGGTGAGTAGGTGGGATGAAAGCAGCTCAGACAGTGGTCTTACAAGGCAAGTCCAGAAAGTGCAGGTTGTGTGAGGAAGAAGGAAGAACCAATTTAAACAAACAAACAAAAAAGATGCAAAGGAAATATATCATTCATACGTATTTGCTTCATATCACCTCACCTGGTGAGGGCCCTGTTTGGCCTAAGGAATAAAGGTCAAGGTGCTCTAATCAAACCGATACAAGGAGACACAACAGAGATGGAAGAAAGAGAAGAGGAAATCAGAGATGGTGTCCTGCACAGAATCTATCAGCACCTTCGGAAGTGGGTTAATTATGTGTGTGAGGGGGCATATGTGTGTTATGCTCTGTCGATGTCACCTGCTTCCCTTTGTGGTTATTTGTGTACAAGTTTTTCTTTGGACCAGTCTGCGTGCTTCTTAATGCCTTGTTATACTTAACTGCATCATCAATTAAAAATTACTTATTTCTAAATTGGGAATTAGTAAATACAGAAAAGAAAGAAATCAGTTATAAGGGTAAGAACACGGATGATTAGATACTTAACAGAAAGGGAAAAGAAGACTAATGAAGACAGTGTGGCTTATAGGAGCTGTGAGGGCTAATGTCATTTATCTCCGAATGCAGGTACTTCCAGACTCCCAGAGTTCTATTATCTCTTAACACCTTTAGGCTATGATGGAGCACAAGTCCCCACACAGAGGGAGGTGCAGAAGCAGAAGAGCTTATAGTGTCAATGTCAGTTGCCTGTGAGAGAGTCTGATTTTGTGAGTGTGTGCACACATGCATGTGTGACGAATTTTCAAATTATTGTGATGATGAGTTGCAGTGAATTGTCTATTCCGTTTGTGCCAATCAGGTTAAGGAGCTAAGGGCAGCTCTTCCAATGGGTCATGCAATTAACAAATGGAAGAGATGTATGTGACATGTACGTGTTCATATGGAAAAGTATAATATTGTATTAATGTCATTACTATATTAATGTCAGAGTTATCTTAACTTACACATAGGTTTATTCATACAGAGGCATTCAGGCATATTTCCAAATACGGTCTCACTGATAACTCCAACCTCTTGTGGACTGGACACTCACAGTGCTTCTGGGGTAAAGAGTAGCATTATTCTTCTGCACATTCTCTAGATACAGAAGTGAACACACCAAGATGCTGCAACTTGTCCTAATAAATAGTCAGTCAGTGCTTAAAGCCAAGTGGAAACAAGATTTCAAAACTCATTGAGTCCAGAGATCCTTCTAGTACATTTAGAACAGCATGAAGACACCATGTCTTGCAGCGGGTAGAATGATGAAGGGGGTTGTCTCATATATAATGCTGCCCTTAATTTATACATCACATTTCTTCCAAAGGGTTTCCAAACACTATCTCATTTGTCTTCCAACAACCCTAAAAGATAAGTAGGGGTGAGTCTGTTCATCAATATTCTCCAAGATGGATTATTGTGGCAGGGAGCGGTGAAGTCACAGGGAGCTGCTGGGCTCTGCAGACATTAGACGACAGTCCCAGCGGCTAATTCCTTCAATTGCTCTTTCCGATGATCTGGGTAACAGAAGTGCAGAGTGGAGGTGGTGGGGTATGGGAAGTGATGTTGGAGAGATTCCAGAAAAGGGATACAGTTCTGTTATTTCACTGTTACTCTAGCATCCCTCTCCAGTGTTTCTGCCCACAGGAATGAGTAACTAACCAAATCTTAAATGGGGCTTTTCCTGTTGCTTCAAACTGATGAGAAATGCTAAAGCTAAGAACACATTCAAAAAGAAGTGCAAATAACAAGGGTTCCTCTTCTTCAGAGGAGGTAGCTGAAGGACACCACTCCAAACATCACTTTAACCTCCTGGTCTATTTTGCCCATTTATTAAAACAAAAAACAAAAAACAAAGGAAAAGAAAAGAGGGAAGAGGTCATCAATAATTATAGCTCTTTGACTTAAAGGAAGGCAAAATCTCCCTCACATCAATCAAAATGATATGAGGGATGTGGGAGAATCCCTGCTGGAGTTCAGGATTCTAGGACCTCATTGGTTTCTCAGCACAGTGCAGGGTGTTCCTGAACTTCTCTGTATATATCTAAGCAAAAGTAAAACAAATTCACAAAAAAAAAAAAAAAATACAAAAGGCAAAGGAAGGTGACTTCTATACTGCACTTTGTACTACCACAGTATTTTGCTCCCACGATCAAGTGAACATCTTGGAAAAGAGATGGATTGGAATTCCTTACCAGCATCTCACAGAAGAGGATTGCTGGTCCACTTAGAGACCTCAAATAGCAAGAGACCACTGGATACATGAACATGATCAGGTTCAGATGGGCAGAAAAGAGGTCCTTTTCATGCTCTCCAGCAAATTTATGCTGAAAAAGCCAGGCATGCAACTAGCCAGAGCCACACCTCATGAAGTAAGAGCAATTAATCAAGAGAAAATTACAACAGGCACATTCAAACAAGGGACAGCTAGTTTTGGTGTTTGCATTTTTCCGTTTGGTGTCTGTATTTTTCCTTATTCTTTCTCTCCACCTCAGCACACAAGAAAAAGGGAGACCAAAAGAGTGTCCAAAGTCGGGCTGCCCAACCCTGCCCTGGGCTCCCAAGTGACAATGGAATGAGTAGGAGTAGACAAGGACCTGCGCCCCTCCCCATGGGTCAAGGAGCCCTCAATGTTGGAAAGAAAAACTTGGTAAAAAGAAATGAGATTAGAGTTTTCAACTGGACAGAATTTGAGTAATGGAAAATGACTTGAGAGTTATAGTATCTGCCTAGGATATTGTTAAGGGATCTGCTACCCAACTGGGAGGAGGAATTTGACATAACACAATAGGGGAGCAAGGTCTGGTGAAAAATAAAACCATTTCATGTTTGTTCCCCACTGAGCTGAGACTTCTCAATAAACTAGACACACGCAGATGTGAAAATCAACTGAGACTGTGGAGGCTTTAGCAGTGAAAGAAGAAAATTATTTATGCTTCTCTGCAGAGATGATTTACTAGAATAAAAACAACCCATAAGTAATAGGCAAAAGATGTACAAAGGAGCTAACATTTGCAGCCTTCTTTTTCAGCAGAATCCGCAGTCTTCAGATTCCTACTTTTACACTCAGAGGCAGACAGAGCACCCTGAAGAATCTAGAAAGCTTTACACTTGACACTACAAGGAACATTTATTTCAGACATGTGGCTACATCAATTAAATGCGATGTGTATTCACAACATTAGTCATTTCACACAGCAGCTCATTATAATGCATGTGTCTTGCAAGAGCAGCCAAGATTCAGTGAGGCATAAAACCACATAGCATCATTATAGATCAGACATCACAATTTTTTAAAAATGCTAAATTTTTACAATGGTTTTTCTATTTCAAATTACTAAGATTGGTCAGAATAATCAGCTACCTTCCTCACTTGTTCAGGGTAACACTCTATTTGACCTCGCATCCTGATTATGTAAATTGACCCCCTAATTACCTTAATCCAACAATAATTTTTAAAAAGTGTTTTCCCACATTATAAAATTATAACTGCAATTTTTGCATAAAATATGAAAGAATAGATGGCTCTAATAAAATAGTGTTAAGAGGCAGCTATTCATAATTTTAAAAACTCATTAATTAAGTTTCTGCATGAGAAAACTATGGTAAATTACATAAATGAAAAAGAGAAATAAAGTGCAACAGAATTATATAAATGCACTTCACTCAACAATCTATGTGCAGCTTAGCACCATTACTCATGGTGTCCAATGCAATGAAAATATTAGAATTTGTGGGAATTCAATTTAGTTCAACTGAACAAAGATTCCCTTAACACATCCTATTAGGGGATACAATTTACTGAAGAGTGGTCTTGACTAAGAAGTGCAAAGAAGAATAAATAAGACATAGTCAATAAGGAGGAATGAATGAAACCAATGTAAATGTCCTAAGGTTTGAAGAAGTAGCCATCAGCATAATGCTGTGGAACAAACTATTCATTTCCTTTCTAAAGCAAGTTGCACTTGCTGTGTCAGTCAGGGCCCAGAGAGACAGATGGCCGCTCCCGTGGCTTAATTCAAAAGAGGGTTCAAGTAAAGGCAGCTCATAAGGATGTGGGGTGGTCCCGAGATGCAAGAGGGGCTCATGGGGGAGCAGCAGACGACGTGGCCACTGCAGGCAGTCACTCCCAACCCTGCAGGGAAGGGATATGGGGGGACCTCCTTTACTGAGGACGTGCTAGAGACAGAGCTGCAGGGCTGGGTGGGGGCTGTGGAGGAGGGCCACGCCATCAACTCCAGAACCTGAGCAAGGGTTAAGAGTTGGGATTGTCAGTAAATTGTCAGATTTCTCTCTCCGTCTACGACTGATCTCTGCAGGTCCTTGCCTTATACCTCATGTAAAGCTGGAAGGAAGTGAGAGCAGGTCCTGAGTCCAGAGGCCAGAACAAGATGGCGAAGTGCAGCCAATGCCTGTGGTGGAAATCAGAACAGGCAGGGCAGATAAGACATTTAGAATATATGTCTTAGAATTTAGAATATAGTAAGCCAGATTTTTCTCAATCATTAATTTGAAGTTTCAAAAATCTGTTTTGGGCAATGACATGAGATACAATACAGTGTAGGAAAACTTAACAGATTTTGAAGAATGTTTTAACATACTGGAGTCTTCCTCCAAGAATCTGCTACCCTGGCATTGAGAGTAGACATCCCCTCTCATCAATTAAAGAAGTGAGTGTATGCAAACATAAGCTTCCTCTGCGTGGTGCTCCTTGGAATAGGCTAACAGATCTAAACTTCTTTGGCACAACAGACACTTAATTCAGCACTTAATTCAGTGCTTAGACCTCATTTCTTAATTCAGCACTTAATTCAGTGCTCAGACCTCATCAATTCGCTTATTCCCAGTCAACAAATTTTCACCCATTACGTATTTAACTGACAAATTATTCTACATTCCTTCAGTGATTCAAGAAACATAAAGAAATACAGAGACAGAAGACGTAATGTATACTTCAGATTAAATGAAATATTGACATTAAGGACAATTGATTAAATGTGTTTAGGATTAGAGAATGAAAGTGAATCATTGAGTATGGAGGGATTAACACCAAATGAGTATATCATCAATGGTCTGTTAGTTACTACATGATGACATGCTAACAACTGTTTAATTGAAGCCTTGGAAGAGTTTTAATTATTGATACTTTGTTATGAATGGACCATTCCCAATAATTCTTGGCTTTGAAATACTATTGATTTCCTTGAACTAATAGTCACAATTTTCTATACTAATCAATTTCTTATTCTCATTTCTCAAGACACCATTGAAGAGAAAGACTGCATTGTCAATGGGAAAGAGAAAATTTTACAGGTTTTTGCCAGTGGGATATGACAAGGCTGTGTTTCTTCTCATGAATGAATGTTAATGATAACAAAGGGGCAAGTTACAGGGCTTTTTCTTCTGAACTATGCCAGTTACACCTCCACTGCGTAAAACTAAGAAACACAAGATGCCCTCCTCAAGGTTCTTGGAGGATTCTAGTATTGCTTGCTGAGTAGCTATGCCAATTTATGTCATGAAATTTGATTATTAGCGCTTAAATGTTACCCAGGTATATGAAAATAAAGTTAATTGGCAGCTAATAAACTTCCTCAACTAACCTTTACTTTCAAATTTATGAGAAAATTCTGTTGGCACCATGCTATTGCCAAGGCCCCTGGTCTCATATTCAATAATTCCTTATTGAAGAAATACCATTAATTTCTTCCTATATTGCACGAGACTCCAAGAGAAGAAAGGCGATTTTTTTCCTATTTTCTGTCATAAATAGAATTATTCACACTTGGAATGCTTCTAATTTGCTTCTCTGGGATTAATGTCCTATCTTTTTATTGATTATCACGTCAGGTCAGCCTGTTCCTATGTGTGTGTACAGGTAATCATTAGAGGAGGTCTAATTTGACCTCATTACATTCTCCCCACACACACTATCTTTGTCGCTATCCAAAAATGAAGACTCAGTAGCTGTTGTGTGGTTAACGACTGTGTGATTTTCCAAGCTTGTTGCCACTAGGTTAAAGATGGAGCACACATTTCCTGGAACTTTCCCCACTTCTCTTGTCCAGCTTTTCTGCATATTTTCTAACAGATATTATCAAACTATTTGGCAGCAATTATAAAAACAATTCCATATGAAGAAACTTGGTGTCTTAGGAATTTTGCTAATAGCTCAATAGACGAATTTAACACCCTTAGCCTTGAGGAGGGCTCATTCCTACCTCCATTTCACAAAAGAGAAAACTGAAGCTTAGAGAGGTCAGTTACCTTGTTCAAGGTCAATGTGCCAGGACTGAACTATTTACAGTGACTAACACACAGGTTATTTTCCTTGCTTCTAGAATTAAAACAGTTAATTATTTTCTCATATTATCTTCTAGCTCACACTGTAAAATAAAATCATAATTAAAATTATATAGGATTTGGCACTACTGTCACTGAGGCTTGTGTTCTTTGCCATACGCTCTACAGGCCCCGATCATGCGGAAGGTACAACTCTCACAGAGTTAACACCACAGACCCTCCACTTAAGTGTGGGACTGTGCCAGGTCCGGGACTCTGTTACTCCAGTGGGGTTGCAGCCCTAGTGCTGCTGTGGATTGGATGACATTTATGTGATCTCTGGGCTGATATCTTTTACGAATTTAATCTTGGTCTAACAACAGCGAGCCATGGAAACAGAAAACAGAGAGTTGAATATACCGCATGCCACACCTGTCAAATGGACAACTAAGGAGAAACGGACCACCCATGGTACTTCCTGTCCCCAATGTTAAGATACCCAACAAACACACAGCTCGCCATGGTCTAAGTAACTCTTAGACTAAGCTGTGCTGCCTTGCAACCACGCCAGTTTTCCAAGAAACAAACAACAGAAATCATATATATATACAAAGTGAAGTAGTTTAACTATTTACAGTGACTAACACACAGGTTACTCTCCTTGCTTCTAGAATTAAAACAGCTAATTATTTTCTCATATATCTTCTAGCCTACACTGTAAAATAAAATCATAATTAAAATTAAAAATGATTTGGCATCAAGTGACAATTTTCTTCTGTATCTCTAATCCCATCCCCTTTCATTAAATTCTAGCATTTTCAAGTATACCGTCAACTTAAATTCAGTGTCTCCAAAACCAAACATTAATGTCTTTCTTTCCAATATTCAGCATTTCTGGCAATGACATCCTTATTTCCTCCATCATGAAATATCAGTAATTAATGTCTTTTTCCCTTCATATTCTGGATAGCATGTCGCCATTTGTAAAACAGAAAGGTATAATAATTCATCTATTTGTTCATTCAAAAATCACATAATCTGAGAGACAGTGAGGCGACACAGTGGTAAATGGATCTACTGTAATTTTTAAGTCATGCAAAGAAACGACATGTTCAGGCTACCCAGGTAATTGCTGGGATTTATATGTTTGTGCAACCCCTTATGGGAACAGAGAATTAATGGAAAAGGACATCAGAGGCTGCTTCCCTGGGGAAGTGCACAGGAAATGAGAGCGGAGGAAGAGAATTGATGAAAGGGAAACATAACTGCGCAGGAAGTGAGACAGGATGCAATGTCCAATTATGGAGGAAAAACTTGGGGGAAATATAGGACTCTGGGGAGAGAAGGAGGGTGAAAGGAGGCCCTGGCGGAGATAAAACCTGGGTCACACTTCAACAAGAGATGTGGACATCAGGCTACGGATGGTCCTGGATGTTCCTCCATAGGCGACAGTGAGTTGGGGGGTAGGGGGAGGAACAATTGGAGGGGGAGGGAAAATGGGGCAGGTAGGGAAGGGGTGAATGAGGCTCGAATGAGGCAGGAAAGAGGAGAGGATGGAAAAGAAAAAAGGAGAAAGAAGAGTAGGGAATGCTGGGATTGGCCTGCTCACCCACAGTCTCCAGGGCTGACACTTGTTTTGGGTACACCTGTATCCTCGTGCTGAAACAGCTCAACTCTTGGGTTCTGATTTTCCTCCTGTTGGCCATGTTCTCAGAAGTTTCTTCCCAAGAGACAATAAAATCCCAAGATATGAGGTGAGATTCTCCCTCCAACATGTCCAGGCAAACAAAAGCCTGGCAGATCAGGGAACGTCTCTTGGCGTGGCATAGGCCACATGCCGAGGAAACCTAGGATGCAGTGTTGTTGTAACAACAGGAACAGACAGTGACTACTTTGACAATATTGGAGTTCACATCCACTTCTTATTGATCCTTCCCTTTACAAATGAGAAAACTTGACAGCCAAGGTTAACTAGGTAGGAGACAGCCAATGTTCAAACCTGAGTGTGTTGCTCACACCCTACCTCCATGCTCCAGATATAAATAAATGCCTTCACACTACTCAGTGGCCAGACCCGGACAATGTCCAGCAGTATGCTTTGAAAAATGAGTCATTCTCGCGAAGCACAGTGAGCCCCTTGGAGCTCGTCCAGAATTCTAAATCTGTTTTAGATTTTCCTTAAAAATAAATCACTGTGATAAAAGTAGCTCAGACTCTGAATAGATTCCCCAAGTCTTATATCTACAAAATCTAATGCTGTGCATTGAAGAAAAGATTAAAAGATATAATAAAGGCAGCAAATATCCCTCGGATTTGGCTCTGCTGTAGAAAAGTCGAGAAAAGCTGGAGAGGCATTTCAATGATGGTCAGGTTTCACTTCCCAAGTCCTTATTTCCTTTCTAATATGACTTCTTGGTAGGAATATGTGCCTCTGACTGAGCAGCTTGACACATTCTCAGGGACAAAAAAATAGTGTGGATGACATCCTTTCCACTCCTATCATCACCAAAGTGTCTGCTCTCTAGGAAGAACTAGCAGTTCAGTCTTCCGGTATTGGAAGCAAGTCCTGAGTACCTTCACTGCGCCGACCCCTGCTGCCTTGAGAGCCCCACAAACAGTGTCTCACACGATGGTCTCGGTCGATTCCATAGCAGTCTCAGCCCTGAACCAAGGACGAACCCTGTGCATCTGCCTACAAGCAAATACATAAACACAAGGGCAGACAGTGCACTTGTCTCTGGACTTGAAATACAGAGTGCTTTGAACTGAATCACTTCTTTTTGTTGCCAAAACAGGAATCAGTCTCAAATAGCTGCAGGCTCTCACAATTACTATTTTGAAAATCTGACTTTCTGTTACACAGCAGAGTGGAAAGCGCACTGATTGAAGAGCCAAGACCTGTATGTGTCATAAATTCTATTTTTGCATCTATATTGAATAGATTGGTGCCCTTTCATGAAGCAGAAAGTGTTGGAAAAGATGAATAGAGAAACAACGGCTGACCTTTTAAGGTTCTGAAAACCCGAGATCATAAATCTGAAATACTTAGAGAAAAACACATTTTAGTGAAATTGCTAGAACTGCTTCCTTTGAGGCCGAAAGTGTACAAGCGAAACACTCTCATGGTAAA